GTGTGCATGCGTGCTGCTGATGACCTTGTGTCGCCGGGAGCACGGGCACATCTGTATTCTCGGCCCTCCCGTGTCATGATGTTCCCGTCGAGCTGCTTCGCTTCCCGCATGTTGATCCTCACACTCCGCCGTGTAGTTCAAAGGTCAGCCTGAAGTCACACTGCGGCTTCTTCCGACAACAAACCGTTGCCTACGAACCCAAAAACAAAGAACATCTGGACATCATGAAAAAGTCATGAATGGTGATATTGTTGTATCGAAACAATGCAATAAGATACATACAATATTCCTGAAGATTTCTTGAGGACGTTTGTGGGCAGCCTCACAGATGTCGATTGAAAGTCACAGTGAGACTTTGTGAAGGCCGGCGTGATCGAAACTCTGCGAGCCGCAAGCATGTCGTCTTTCCTTTGTGACAACGAATGTACGTAATAATTCTCCCGCCTTGTGTCGTTTTTAGTGCTCCGCTAATTGTTCTCAGAGCGTCTGCTGAGAGTTGAAACACAAGAGATGAGGGAATCATTGACATTGTCATCCCTTGTGTTTTGGGTGAAAAACAAGGAACAGAAGAAGAATGTGTTTGAGTCGATATTTGATTATCTCCTCTGTTCTTCCTCTTGTTGTATTTTTCATCTGTTGGCTTCTTCTTGTTCTTCTCTGAATTTCACCTTCCACCCTGACCTCTTGACTGATGCACTTCCTCTTCCTTTTCTCCTCTGATCGCTCTTTGTGCTGTCCTCCTTAAACCTCCCCCTCCACTCCCCGTCCCCCCTGGTGGTTTACGGGTCAACAGCTGGCGCTGCTCCAGTACCGCCTCAGTATGTCCAGCATGCCGTGCCAACCACACATCCCACCAGGCTCAGGGACCCTCCACACCTACCAAGTACTTAAACCTTCTTGCTCACCCCCGCCTGCCACGCCGTCACCTTTGGTCCGGCTCAGGGGTACTTGGTGGAGACCCGAAGGTCCTGCTCAAGGTACTTCTTGGACACCCGGCTCATGGCCTTGTTTCTTTCCCATGGGACCTCCAGCTCCTCCCACCAAGTACTCTTGCAGGGACACCCGTTCCTGGCTTGTGTGCTTTGATTTGCTTGCGCGTTTATTTGACTGCTGTTGTGTGTGAGTGAAACAAATGCTAACAAAATGTACGAAATGCATCGTCCGCGTCCATTCGAAACTTGGAGTGAGTACAGACTTGGGTTTGGCGTTTGTTGGCATTTGAGCTTAAGAGATGCTGCGGCCGGTCATGGGGCTCTGAGGTCCTGCCTTGAAGGAAGGTCCCCCCGCCCCCCTCTCCCCCATGTCTTTGTTGCCTTGTATTTGAATTCCACACAAAGTCAAGCCAGACTAAAATTTTTGGAGTGTTTTGGGGGGCAGATTGGAAAATGATCCCAGCATGGGCCACCTAATCCTCCCCAAAGTTGGATTGCGCGGGACCTCAGTTTTCCAGGGCACCACACGGCCTTTGCTGCTTGATTGGCTGCAGTGGGCCGAAAGGCATCGCGATTGGCCGCTTGCGAAGGGTCGGCAGGGTGTCACCGAGCGCCGCTTGACTTTGCCGCCGTTGCAGGAACCGTTCAGCCCGAGCGAGGAGCACGTCTTGGCCGTGCGTCTGCTGGTCAAACATCTGCATGCCTTCTCCAGCAGCCTGAAGCCGCAACAGGCGTCAGTTTCCCCCACCCACTCGCACACCCACGCCAGCCCACTGGAGGAGTTTAAGAGGTCAGCTTGCTTGCACACGCCGATGCATGTTGAGGTCTTCGACCGCAATTCATCTTGGGGGTCGGCAAGCCAACGCCAAGCACTTCTTGGGTGTCGGCATTGACCATGATGTCACAGCAAACGCAGCCCGCTGTCCTTAGATCAGCAAGGAGGGTTAGCTTGGTGTGTTTGGAGAAGAATTTAACAGATCTGTCAATTGCGAGGCAGAGCTGAGCCACATCTTTCGCGAGAGTCAAATCAATCAAAGTCATCCCTGTTGCATGTTTCATGCTGTCAGGCGGATGGCCCGTCTCACGTTGCAGAGTGTGTCGTGTCTCTGCAGAGTTGTGCTGCAGCGCTTCGTGCAGCAGAAGCTGTTCTTGTTCCTGCAGCACTGCTTCGGCCACTGGCCTCTGGACGCCTCCTTCCGAGCGGTACGTCTCCAAAGTCGATGCCGTGAGCTTCCCGGCGCAGCTGCTGACCTCATTGTGGTGGTGGCGATAGGTGCTGGAGACGTGGCTGAGCTTCATCCAACCGTGGAGGTACGCCGACGACAAGACGGCCCACATGCAGGTCGACGGCGGCAGCGGCAGAAGCGACCCTGAGAGATGGTGGGTCACGTGACCGGCCGGCGATGCTTGTGCATCTGCGTTTCGGCCGACGCTAACCGGCGGCTTGCTTGTTGCCAACCGGCAGGGAGTCGTTTGTTCAGGAGAACCTGCTGGTTTACACCAAGCTCTTCCAAGTGTTCCTCAACAGAGCCGTGCGCATGGACCTGGTCAACGCCAAGAACGCACTGATGCTCTTCCGGGTGGCCAAAGTCTTCTCTCAGCCCCACCTCGCAGACATGATCCACAAGGGTAAGATGAGTGCCTCACATTTAAAGCAGCCGCCTTCCAATCAGGGTTTTATGCCGCTGATTCCGATACGATTATCCGTGGGTGAGATATAGTCGATGAATCTGTCTAAAATGATACAAAACCAATATCCGGGGTTCCAGTGGGCGGGGCACTGTATGAGCTTCTTTGACAGATGCGAACTTTTGCAGCCGAACAGCTGTTCCTGGAGCCGGAGCTGGTCCCCCATCACCGGCAGCAGCGAGGCTACCTGACGCCCGGTCAGGGAGGCAGCTTCCTGTCGTCACGGCAACGCACAGCCACAGATGCCGTGTTCCGGGTCAAGAGTCACGTGTACGCCTTGGAAGGACAGGACTGCCAGTACAAGCAGATGTTTGGCTCCGAGCTGCGGGCTGTGGTGAGGTGCCGTCGTATTCTTATTTTGCTCCGTTAGTACTGCGCCTTTGGCTCTAGGGGTCACCCGAGTGTTTGTCAGGTGGTGAAATTGATCCAGGTGGTAGCACAAGCCAGACAGACGGCCAAACGGATTTCGGACCGCTCCAGCCAAGCGGCGGCCAGCAAGTCTTTCCTGTCCTGGTTGACGGCGCCTTCCTCGGATTCCAACAACGGGCTTTGCGGCGTCGAGTCGGACGACAGCACAGAATGTCTGAGGAAGACTCACGAGTTCCTGGACAGAGCGCTGGAGAACTTGTGCACCATCTTCAAGGTCCGTCCAAAGGTTGATTGTCTTGCCTCCCTCAAGGCTAGGGAGGGGCGTGCAGAAGACTCGGGTCAGTCCTGTCCGCTTCAGGCTGTCTTTGTCCTTAGCAGCAGCACCAAAACAGACTGTGATTGAATGGCTGTGGCGTGTGTAAAAAGGGCCTTGGCGGCCCCCTGAAGCCCGCTTTGCCTCTCCATCTTCCGCGCTCAAGTGTGCTCCTTCAATCCACTTTTCTTGTCTTGCAGCTCAACCAGGGTCAGTTGACTCAGCTCATGGCCAACGTGACGTCCTCTCAGGATGACGGCGAGTCGAAGCAGCTGCCCGATTGCGTCGTGGGAGAGCGCGGCCTAGTCCTCACCGACTTGGGAAGGATACAGGTGCAAACTTGAGCCTTTCAGTCGTTTTTCTTTTTATCCGATCCACGCCCATGTGGATGACTCCAATCGTATCCCTTTACTCCAGTGAGAGTAAAGTGGCGCCTTTTAGGACTCTCTAGGCTCAGGACTGCTAGACTTTGATTGCTTTTCATGAGTCTTGACCACAACTTGAAGTACCTTTGGTCGACTTGGGGAAAGCCGAATGGCAACATGCGAGGTGTACAAGTCAGTGATAAGAGATGCCACAACTACCACATCCAACCTGAGCTGTCGAGGATAGTCCCAAATTCAGGCCGGCTAGCGTGTGTCAGCATCCCGCTTAACTCGATCGCCGATCACCCAAGCTGGTGTATGTACCAGATGTGATTGGGCTGCGAAATTGCCTCGGTGACCTGCACACCTTCTGATGACATCGCGTGTTATGTATTTCAGTAATACGTTACTTTGTCTCTATAACAACTAAAAATAATAAGTGCATTAGTGCCACATTGGTACATCATTTGCACTAATGTCCCGACATTTCCTGCTCACTGTCGGTACCAAATGTGATCGGGCTGCAAAATTGTAAGTACCGGTATAGACTGTGTGTGTGTGTGTGTGTGTGTGTGTGTGTGTGTGTGTGTGTGTGTGTGTGTGTGTGTGTGTGTGTGTCACATTGTGATGCCTTCAAGAGACGCTCCTCGCAGCACTTTGTGCTTGGCTAGTTGTCAGCGCACCAAGCAATCAAGCAGGGAGGACAAATGCGGCGGTGCGTGTTTGAAGCCTAGCGGTGGCCAGAGGCCGTAAAACACGGCTGTTAGTTACATACTGTACGTTTCAGCTCGAGAGCCATCCAATTCCTTCTGGAATTTTTCTTTCTAAACGGAGCTGTATAATCCGCCTGAGGAAACAAGTCCACGTGAGGCTGGGGGTGTGCTCACTTACGCACAAGTGATTGACAACATCATGTCATTCACACCTTCTGCCACTTGGTTCAGTTAATCTTCGTCAAGTGGTGAATACTTAAGGACAAAAATGCTCAATTCACCCTTTAGTAGAAAATATGGAGAATGGTTTGGAAACGCAACAACCCTCGTATGTCAGAATCAGAATGTGGCCATCTTAGCACAAGGGTAGAGTGAGTGCAAAGTGCCTTATGTGCCAAGGCTGAGCAAAACTTGCACGACTTGCTGGATTTCCTCCCCACAGTCATTTGTGACATGCTGGAAATGAGACGATGACGACTGAGTAACTTACATGTGCCGTCATTGACTTGGTCCCAGCGCTGGCCGTCATAAACCATCGCGCTCTTGTGCAGATTATCAACGGACTGCGGAGGTTCGACATTCAGTACCAAGGAGACCCGGAGCTGCAGCCAATCAGGAGCTACGAGAACGCACTGCTGGTCAGGTTCCTGTACCGGATGTCGTCGCTGCTCAACGACCAAGTAAAATGTCACACAGAAGTCCCGAGTCTGGGCCGACGGGCGATTGCACGTCTAACCGGGCTGGTGTGGTCTGCGTCCTCAGTTTGAAAGCCACTTGACCCAGCTGTGCTCGCGGACGGATTTCGCCGGTCGACTGGGTCGTCACTACCTGACAGGTCCCGATCCCGACATGGTCCTGGCGAGGAGTCCTGCGTCCCCTCAGTTCCGGGACTGGAAGCGGCGACCTCGTGTCAGCTTGCGTCCGCTGGCCAGCTACAGGACCATCCTGCTTCTTGTCTTAAGCTATGCTGCGGGCGCCGTCTTGTCCTTCGGCCCAGTGTCCAGCACCTTACTCATCCTCGCTGCCGTATTCCTCCACGGAGTGGCCGCGATGCTGTGTGCGGATAAATGGAAGACGCACTAGCATGAATGGCGCAGAACTTTGTATAGGCATGGGAGTCCAGCGGCAGCTCATGTCAAAGGTCAACAATTTTCATCGCAAAACACTCAATTAAAGTGCTTGGTTTTCAACTGTGGTCTTTTTGCGCTCATCTGATGGTTGGTTGGCAGGTGCAGCACCTCATGCAGGGATTTTGTTTCCCCAAATTGTGTTTGATCTTTAACGTATTAACTTTGACAAGAAATTGATAAGAAACAATTGTAAACCTTGGGATAGAAGACGTGTTCGCTCTGAAACAAGCCCCAAGAGAGCAAGTCGCAGTTTTGTCCTGACTGACCCATTTTGCCAAGATTGAATGGTTCCAGGGTGGCACGGTGTAGACTGGTTACCACGTCCGCCTCAAAATGCAGAGGTGCGGAGTTTGCGTGTTCTCCCTCTGTCTGTGTGGGTGTTCTCCGGGTGTGGTGTTTTCCTCCCACATTCCAAAACCATGCAAAGTAGGTTAATTGAACACTTTATATTGTCCTTATAAGTGTGATTGTGAGTGTGAATGCTTGTTTGCCTAGGTGTGCCCTCCGATTGGCTGGTAACCAGTTCAGGGTGTACCCTGCCTCCTGCCCATAGTCAGATGGAACAGGCTCCAGTACGCCCACGACCCTTGTGAGGATAAGCAGTTAAGATATTGGATGAATGAAGTCACAATCCTGTCCCAAGGTGAATCACACCACATCCTACTTCCATTCACATACATTATAAAACGAACAAAAAAGTTACCACTCCAGAATCACCTAAATGGGTCGCTACTTTTTCTGTGGCCGGGCAAGGGTCGGTCAGAGAGCGTGCGACATGCTCCGTGTGAGTAACAAGTAGCAAAATTGACACCACCAACTTTCTTGCCTTCATTTGTTCAGGGCTTGAGTCAGCTGTTTGGATCTACGCATGTGACGTAACAGACCCCGTGCGGTCTCTTGGTGACGTCCAGCAGGTGGCGCCTCACGCCAATTCGAGGTATCGTGGGTAGATCAAGAATGAGGAAAATCATCTTTTCATCATCGCATTGTCACATACGCGTGGTCGCAAAAACAAGCGAACAGTAAATCACCTCGATGCATTGCTATGATATGAAAATGCCCCTTGGGAAATCACAAAATTCGGTTTTACATTCGGTGGTTTGGTTTTGAGCTGTTTTTGATCCAATTTCAAACCATGACGCGAGGGCGCGCACTCGTTGATTGTGCGCTACTTGTGGTAGCGCGCATGCGCAGAGGCCCGTTACCGTTCATCCTCTTAAAAGCGCGCACGCCCCGCGCGCGTTCACGTCGTCTGTATGAATGCATGTTGATGAAGAGGAAGACGACAGCTCCACGAATAACATGATAGTGATGATGAAGATGATGCATTAACTTGGAGGCTCATAAGTCTTCATCACTTATCCTTGTCCCCTTACGTTGTACGTGACGTAATCAGGTGACATTTAATGCTTCCATGAAGACGGTGGCTGCGTGAACTTTGTGACGTCATGTGGACGCTGACAGAGGACGAGAAGCTTGGCGTGGGTGAGTGGATCGCCCACACGCACAAAATCGCTGTTACAAAAGTGCATGGAAAAAGTTTGTGTACTTTGAAATGTGTTATGGCAAAATATCACCAAATGTAAAGCATGTCCATCGATATCCCATCTTCCTTCTTCCCATCATTGAACAAACATGCTTGTTTCATGTCACGTCATTTTCTTCCATCTTTTGACGAGCAATTGCCACCTGAAGGACTGATCACGTGACCGTACAAATGCAGAAAAATCACTCATAACCTGACTTTGAAGGCCCTTTGAACACGTCTGTTGTGTTAGCGCTTATGAAAGCGCAGAGAGTCATTGAGCAGCGCGAAGAAAAGAAGCTTTTCACACTCCTTCAATGCATCGTCACTCCCCGATCGAGGGACGGTACTGAGGTGAATGCAAATGAGATTTTAAATCACTGCATAAACAGTGTCAAACAGAAATGAGAATTATAACTATTACCGTAATAATCAAGGGAGCAATCGCAACCACTGAGCTGCCCGGCACAACAATAAAAAGTTTAGCACGCGTACATGTCCGCGTGTGACGAATCCAGCAGGACGTTCCAATCGGGTTCCACTGTAGCCACGGCAACGGTCTCGCTTCCGTTGGAACATGAAATTCTCCGAAACAAAACTGTCTTCCGTTGTGAGGTCGGGGGTCAGCGAGGAGTCTGTTTGTTTGTTTGTTGGTTGGTTGAGAGTTGCGTTTGAACACAAATTTGCGCGCAAATATTCAGTCTAGTTATACTTTCAACATTTGACAAAACGTCTTGGCTTCATTCAATTTTTCCTTTTCATCTTTTTATATAACATCAATATTTCCCTTCCAGATGTTCTTTGTACCACATTAATCTTTAACCTCGAATGTTTTCAAGATCAATATTTCATGTGAAAATTATGTCAGGTTGGCTTGCGGTGTCCTGGACAGCAAAATGGCTGATGGCTATGCAACCTTGTCGGCAAGATGGCCACGAGCTCACCGGCTTCGCGTTAGTCAATCAATTTACTGACTTGTGCCCAATTGTTTTACTCTTACTTGTGTTTCTATTTACGTCTTGTTTTTTTCTTTTGTGTGTGTGTGTGTGTGTGTGTGTGTGTGTGTGTGTGTGAGTGTGAGTGTGTGAGTGAGCGAGAGCGTGTATGTGTGTGCGCACGCGTGTGCTTGCGTTTTTGTCCAGATGGTCAGACGACCTAAAAGTAGAGCACTGGGCTAAGCCACTTGAACAGACATTCGTCGTGTGCGCGCCTCCGTCGAGCGTCCGTCCGTCACTACCCATGCGCGTGCACGCGTGCGCGTATGTTGTTACAAGTGAAAGGTTTTTCAGCGAATGTTTACACCACCATCTTAGCTTTGTTTTTGAGAACATGAAAAAAACAAAGAAAAAGAAGGAATTCATCAATTGTTCCGTTTTCTTTCTGCAAGCTCACACACTGACGTGTACACACGTGGGTACACGTGCACGCGCGCGCACACAGTCATATCCAGGTCAGTAAGTTGATGTGATTACATTTTTTTAACAGTCGCCTGAAGCACTCGCTCACTCGGTTTTTTTTTTCACTCTTTGGCTCAGCAGCTTCTGAGCAGGGAGGCTTTTTTCACCTCATGAATTGCGCTAGCTAACGCACAAGCATTCAGGATAGCAGCTTTGGACCCAAGGAGCAATTTTAGAGGAAAAGCCTCCAAATTTTAGAGTAATGCCTGTTGACCGTTCATAATTGACTGTTTGTTTGTGTTTGAGAGCAGACCTGCGCCAAATGTGCGAAAACTTAGCAGGTCTGCTTTGTCCATTTGTAGTCATCTTTAATCTTCATCATCTTAATCCATCAGGAATTCTGCTTCATCTTCTTTAATCCCTTTTGTCCAAACAACATCATCAACTGCTGGACACACCCTCTGAAAACTCATCAAATCATTCCAAAATATTCTTCCGCCACACAGGCAGCGTGCATGTGCATGTTTCCTTTCACTCGTTTGTGATGTTATCGCACCTGTTCAAATGTGCGCTTTCTGAAACAGCTCGGTTCATGCGTGTGTATGCTGCACGCACAAAAGACGGAATATAAAAAGATGGAAATCAAATGCCCCCCTCCCCCATTGACGAAGTGGATGCCGATAGAGCTGCTTTTGTGTCACAACAGCTCACCCTGACCTAAATGGAAAAGACAAAGCATGCAGATGTTCTGCTCAATCATTTAACAGCTCAACACATGACCTCATCGTAATCGTCACTATCATCATCATCATCATCATCATCATCATGCCTCTGTCATCGTTGTGCTGGGAACACCTCCTTGCCTTTTGTATCGCTCAACAGTGATTGGGCTGGGGGAACGAGCTGTCGTGGGTCCCAGCGAACTTGTGTGAGAGGAGGCTTACGCCCTGAACTACTCAGTAGCCTTTGCTGGGCACATCATGGACAAACAATTATTCCCACTGCCATTCACTCCTACGGAGCATTTCCAGCAGGGATGGGTAGATAGTTGGCACCAGTTAGCCCCAAGGGCCATAGGAGGTGCCCACCGTCTTGTTCTAAAAATAGCTCAGCTGTGAGACACATGTGTCTATTCTTTTGGGTTCTTTTTCTAAAAAAAAGTAAAAATAAAATAACAATAATAATAATAAAAAGTGATGCCTCGCACAAGCAAATGGGCAAAAGTATATATAGCTATCTGGCTACCTATCTGGCTATCTATCTCGCTATCTATCTATCTAGCTATCAATCTAGCTAGCTAGCTATCAATCTAGTTATCTAGCTAGCTCTCTAGCTATCAATCTATCCATCCATCCCAAACAATTTGAGGAAGAATGCTGAGCACTGATTTAGAGTCAAAATAAAGCCAACATATTTGTAATGCGGTACGGAAAAAACAAACGAACAAAGAAACCCCAAAAAACAAAAGCTCATCAAGAACATGCTGCCTCCATTCAAGGGTGGAACCAGATTTCACCTGCAACTTCAGAAATACGAGTCAGACAAGCCAACTGTAAAATAGGCAAAGTGAAATCAAGAATCTCCCGACTGAGGTCATAGAAATCATGTGACCCAGGTGGCCAATAAAATAATGGAGTCAGTCAAGTCACTGCTCAGCCGAGTTGATGTCTAACACGTGCACAGGGGACACCCTCGCTTTTCCTCATCTGGCCTTGTGTTCCCTACGCAGCCATCTTCAACTTCCGGAGTTGCGTCCCTCACACGTTGACGTTGGAGCTCGGCGAGAGCGTTCGCATCCTGGAGAAATGCCAAGGTAACTTTCAGTTCTGAACAAAAGCCGTCATCAGCCACCCAGACACTCAGAATTGTTTTCATCTTCTGTGATAATTGACACAATTTGCCTTTTTTTTTTTTTTTGGTTTGGAATGATCTCAGTGTGGAAACGAGAAAAAGCATCCTATGATGTTTGACTACATCAAACGTCCCTTTTTTTTTCAGGATGGTTCCGAGGATACTCGTGCAGGAGGTCAAACGTCAAAGTAAGAAAGGGACGCCTGCCCTCGCTTCTTCAAGATTCACTTGTTATTTCTTCTCCTTGTTTGGCTTTCCTATTTATCTAAATTACTTCTACCTATTCATATGATTTGTACTTTTTACCTTCATGTTGCCGCAGGGAATTTTCCCGTGCAGTTACATACACGTGAAGAAATGTGCCGTCACCAATAAAGGGTATGTCCACTACCACAAAATGCAAACTGTCAAGTAATATCACTCGACTGTTGTAACTTGCAAGTTGGAAATGCAACCAACCGTAAGAAAAAAAAAAATCTTTTGTTCGTCTTGTGAGTGCAAGACAAACAACATTACACCAAAGCGATATCACAAGAACTACGTTGACATCTATTGTGTGCACGTGGGAAAACAAAGACATTCAGACACAAAGGCATTTTTTGTGTGACGCTTGCAGAGAGCACACTTGTCGTGCGTGTTTCGTTCGCATGAAATACGTGTTGAGGAAATGAATGAATTATGTGTATTTTTTCAGATCCCGGGAGGCCGCAGTGCCCGTTGAAGACGCAGTCGTTACCGAGGTGACGTCCACGCTTCGGGAATGGGCGTCGCTGTGGAAGCAACTCTACGTGGTGAGGGCCTTCCCTTACGTGCCTTTCTTCTGGACTTTTTCTGTGCTGCGATTCTTCGGTCTAAGCGTCACCGGTGAAAACTTGTGTCGCCACCCAAGAGGGGTGACCCGTTGTATTCTGAGGTTGCCTTCAAGTCCCAGATTGATTTCATGTGTGACATTTATTCCAAATGGATGGTGACGGAATTCACATATGTCTCAGGAAAACTCCACAATCCGGGACTTGCGGGCATCCTCAGAATTCAGTGGGTCACACCTCTTGGGTGGCCGTGTGAGTTTTGCGGGTGTGTGTCTCACGAGCCCAAAATCGCAGTTCCTTGAAAGTGCTGAATTAGACGCCAACGGGAGAATATGTCCCTGATGATTTGATTAGTCTACTTGAAAAATGTGACATCAAAATGAAATTTGGATGAACGTCCCTGTCAGAGACACAAGGTGGATTTGTTTTTCCGAGTGGCTCACGTGATGTCCGAGCTGATGGAACTGAGGAGGCAGCTGACGACGATGGCGCAGCTGACGGAGCAACACGAACGAGACATCAAAAGACACATGACCGCCAGACTAGACTGGGGAAACGAGTGAGAACACCCGCAGGTGCCGACACGCCATCACACACATATTCCTCATCTGTGTGTGTGTGTGTGTGTCTGTGTGTGTGTGGCCAGACATTTGGGTTTGGACTTGGTGCCAAGAAAAGAGTTTGAGATGGTGGATGAAGATAGGGTCAGCGTCTCGGATCTTTACAAGATGGTGAGTGTTTGATCCAGTGGCCTTCACTTCAAGCGCAAGTGATGTTTTGATATTTGTTGCAATCATTAATTTAGGTTTTCTACTTCACAGCATCTCAGCAGCAGAAACAACGTTCAGCACAACTCACAGGTCTGTCAGCTTTGCGCTGTCATTTCGAGAGCTAAAATGTCACACCGACGCGGTTAACTCAGCTCGAAGTGGGACGTTTGATGACTGGTTGGATTCCAAAGTAGACTTCTAAATGGCCAAAAGAAATCTGTTCAACAAATACGAGTTACTGACAGGTTGGGACAGCGCCCCGCTCCCTCGTAAAAACATCCCTTCAAATAAAAAAAAAATAAGAGATGAGCGGACCAAGGAGGCTAGCTAGCAAGAGTTAGCAACACTTTTCACTGCTAACCCACAGGGCAAAAGAAGAAATACTGCGGTTCGAGAGAAATGCAACAATGCTTGAAGATAAGCAGAATGAAGAAAAAAAGAAATGACAGTTGAAATGAAGCTTTTGTCTTGTAAGATAAATGGGGGAACAAAATGCCCGCATTTGTTTTATGTCAAGATTAACCAAATGCTCCAAATGATTAGCGTCATTGTCTCGAATGGCCCGCAGCCCAACTCAAATCCTCAACAGAGGCCCGGTGGCGGCCACCAGTGGAGAGCTCCAGTAGCGCACCACTTGCTCCTCAACCTGAAGAGTTTCACCTCCAACAACATCGGAGAAGACAGCGACATCTTCTTTTGGCTCTATGACTTGAGGGAGGGAAAAAGCATCAGGTTGGGTTTTTTTTTGTGCCTGTGGCGAACTCCCGTAAAGGAGGTGAAAGTGAAGATTTGCATCCTGCTTGTCTTTTAGTGAAAAGTTCCTGGTGAGACTCAACAAAAACGGAGGGCCCAAAAAATCCGAGAAGGTGGACAAGCTGCGCACTCTTTTCACGGTAAATTAGGGTGCGCTCCCTCCTGCTGGTCACCGCGGTTGTGATGTCACAATATGTGCGTGTTTGTATCTGCGCGTAGGACTTGAGCAACAAAGATATGAAGAGAGATCTCTACATTGTCTCACAAGTGATTCGCACAGGTAAAAAGACACAACACAGGAATGATGTCAACATCACCCACACACAAACTGTTGTTGCAGGGAGAATGTCGCTGAACGACCACAAAAAAGGTCCCCCACACGTCCGATACCGCCGGCCTTACGGCTGCGCTGTTCTCGCCATGAGCGACGTCCTGCAAACCATCTCCGAGCTGAAAGACGAGAAAGACTTTGTACTCAAAGTGTACATGTGAGTTTCTCTCTGCTTCTTGCACACACACGCGCGCATCGACACACCATTAGCCGACTTTAGGTGACCTGAAAATTCAACTTTCAGGTGCAACAACGAGAGTGAATGGTACCAAATCCACGAGAACATCATCCGCAAGTCCAGTACCAAATACTCAGCGCCCGGAAATAACTACGGTATGGCGGCCATCTTTGAATGTTCCGATTACTACGCGGACTCTTCAGGAACGCGAACGTTCACACGTGGGAGGAGCAGTTTGCTTTTTATCAGCACAACCGGTCAACGTGTGCTTTGTGGATTTTGGAGAAGGTCTGAGGAGATCTATGGTGGGGGGAAGTACTATAGCTGGCGCGCTTGTGTTCTTGCAGGGCTCATCATCTCATTGCGGCTGCTGCGCGGCGACGTGGAGGAGCTCCAGCGTGAAAACAAATGGATGTCAAGCGGGAGCGTGACCCTGACGCGCAAGCTCGGCTTCCCGGACGTCATCATGCCGGGTAAGCTCGTGTTTTTTCACTCTCATGGCAATAACGAAATCACCGGCAATCGTTGTTTGCCTTTGCAGGTGACATGCGTAACGACTTGTACCTGACGCTGGAGCGAGGAGACTTTGAGAGAGGAGGAAAAAGCGTCCAGAAGAACATTGAAGTTGGCGTTTCCCTTCTCAGCGCCGATGGAGAAGTTGTACAGGTTGTGCGGCGCTCATAATGCCGTCTTCAAGGGTACAAGGTCACGGGCACTGGCTGATGAGCTTCTTGACGAATTTAGCAGTTGATTATGCCGGAAACCCCGTCAAGGAGGATTTCTAGCAGCCGACACGTTTCCATCACTTAGATCAGGGGTCCCCAACCGCCGGGCACCGGTCCGCGGGTCATTTGGTGCCGGTCTGCGTCATCTCTTAGATCAGGGGTCCTCAACCGCCGGGCACCGGTCCGCGGGTCGTTTGGTGACGGGCTGCGCAGAAAGAATAAATAACTTACATTCCTTCCGTTTTATTCATTTCGGAATCTGAACGATGTTTTATTTTGAAAACTTACCGGATTCTCTGTTATATCAGTCGACAATATTTCACCATTGACGCAGGTGAATGCGCGCTTCTCGGTCTCGCTGTCATGGTACTTGTTAACAACTCTAAAAAAAAAAAAAAAGAACAAGGGGAAGACTTGACTTATAGCGAGGGAGGAGTGGAGTGAGGAGGTCATATGTCACTACTGACGCAGGTGAATGCGCGCTTCTCGGTCTCGCCTTCATGGTGCTTGTTAACAACTCTTAAAAAAATAAATAAATAAAATAAAAGAACTAGGGGAAGACGTGACTTATAGCGAGGGAGGAGTGGAGTGAGGAGGTCTGCCGGAAGATGCCGAATGAACATTTAGAAGCCGGAGATCGATACTTTCTGTTCACCGTCAAACTCTCTCATGGGGGCGATCTAAGCGCAGAGCGGGAAATGATGGCAATGAAAGGAGAAAGTAGCGTCCAGTACGGAAGGGAGCTTTTATTCGCAAGAAGCATCTGGGGCTCATTGCCGCCTCACGACAAAAGGCAAGAGGGCAGCTTTTCAATCAGCGTCATCCAGTGTTCACTCGCTGCGTCGCCGCGCAGCAAGTTGTCGTCGTCTTTGGCATTTGGAGGGCAAAAGGGAGCGTGTGAATAACCGGGGCTCCTTTTCGCTGTCATTTTGACAGGACTGCATCAGCGTGGGTTGCGGCGAGCCCAACGTGACGGAGCATCGCTCCTTGGTGCTTTACCACAGCAACAGCCCTCGATGGAGCGAGGCCATCAAACTTCCCGTCCCCGTCGACCGATTCCGAGGCTGTCACCTCCGCTTCGAGTTCCGACATTGTTCCAGTGAGGTTTTGAGGCCGGGCTGGGTTTCGGTGCTCCCGACCCAAGACCGCTTCTCCATTGTCAGCTCGTCTTCTCTCTGCTTTCATGAAGCCAAAGACAAAGGAGACAAGAAACTCTTTGGTTTTTCCTTCACGCCGTTGATGAGGGACGACGGGACCACGCTGTCTGATCAGAGCCATGAACTCTTCGTTTACAAGGTGAGACTCGACCCCCTCCAACTCCCTCAACGATGTCTTCTTTTCTATGACCGCTCCAGTTGTTGGTTGACATTTCTGGTGTGCCCTCAGTGTGACGAGAACAGCACCTTGTGTAACCCCGGCCTCTATCTGAGCCTGCCGTGTTGCAAAGACCACTTGAGTCCAGGACTTCCCAGCATGGCCTTTCAACGCAGCACCAGGGAAACCTTCTGGATTTCCACCCAGCTCTCTTCCACCAAGCTCACTCAGAATGGTATCTGAAAAAAAAAAAAAATCTCTCTTTACATGGCGCGAACATCTTGTGATGCTAGCCGAGGTCTCGTCCCTCCCCGTCCCAAATGGAATAATGTGGAGTGTCTCTCGGTCTGCTAGTGGACCTGCTGGCTCTGCTCAAGTGGAAAGCTCATCCCGACCGAGTGGGCGACATCCTCGGTCGTTTGCGACACGTCAGCGGAGAGGAAATCGTCAAGGTGAGCTCATCTGCTCCGTTGCATGTTCTGTTTTTTATTTTTTATTTTTTTGTTCTGGGAAAAGTGTTCTGGAATAACTGTAGACCTCCTGTTTTTCAACACATCTAAAAATATCTTTTTTTCATGTTGCTTATGTATGACTAAGATTTTAAAAAATTGTGCAAAATGTGTTAAGAAAGACATGAATTCGGATGAAATGCAGAAGTCAATGTACTCTCGCCGCATGAATCCTGTTGGGCTTTTTCCAGTTCCTTCAAGACATTCTGGACACGTTGTTTTCCATTCTGGATGACAACACCGACAAATATGGCCCTCTGGTCTTTCAGTCTCTGGTAAGATGAAAACGAAATCTGTGCTTGTTGCATGAAGAACATTGGATTTGTTCATTTATAAGAAGCGGAGATAACCGCAGTCCTTTCCGCGTTTGAGATTTTAGAAATGGTTCTTTTCACGTTCAAATAACAACTGGGAGCAATTTGAAAAAAAAAAAATCTGTTGAGTGAGATTTTTAATGATGATGAAAACCCAAATTTGCAATGCTGATTCCAAAATTGCAGTCAGTTTTTTTTTTCTTTTTTCGAGGACCTCGAGATTTTTCTACACAGCTTATTAGATGATCAAAATCACCCTGATGAGCTGTCGTAAGACTTGCCAGCTGATTCTGACTGGCGTCATCGAGAGCTGCATGGCGTCTTGTTTTTGTTGGTCACCATTGAGACGGTTCGGCGGGAGCCGAGAGCGAGCGTTTTAGTTCCTTTTTTTTTTTTTTTAAACTTCCCAAAGCTTGTTACTGTTCCATCTTAGTGTTTTATTTTCATACATAGACATTTATTCAATTGTTTTAAAGAAAACTGGGATCCTGTAGCTCAAAAACCTGACATGATCCAGAGGAAAAACTGGCATCAGTTTTGGATTCTACAATTAAAAATTTGTTCCGAATAGCTGTCAGCCGAACTCAACAAAAATTGTGTTTTCCCGGCCTAATCAATATGTTGCAAGGATGTCAAATAGTTCTTATGAAGACACCACAAAGATAAGTCAGTCTCAGGAGGTTAAATTAGACCACCAAAAAAAAAAAAAAACTTGACGTGACCTGCTTTTTGATGCCCATCACTGGCGTAACTTGTCATTTTTATTCATGATCTTTGGCCAATAACGATTGTTCGGGGAATAGTTCCAAACTCTCCAAATGGAATGCTAATACCCCAATTCCTCTGCAGGTTTTCGTCATCAATTTGCTGAGGGACAGCAAATATTTCCATTTCCGAGCAGTCATGGACACGTACATTCACAAGCACTTTGCAGGCGCTTTGGCTTACAAGTGAGTGGCGGCGGCCGTGCGTGCGCGCGCGCGCATCCCTCTGCATCAGTGTGTTCTGGAACTGCTTCACTTGCGCATCAGGGAGCTGATCCGATGTCTCAGGTGGTCCATGGAGCGTTCGGCGGAGGCGGTGCGCCAGGATCACATCCAGGACGTAATGCGGGTAAGCCGCGGCCGCTTGAACATGACGGCGGGGTCTGTTACTCGCCGGTTTTCCGGAAGCAATGTAAAGATGATTGATGGTTGACGAGCGTCGCGTATGACTACGGTACGTTGTGGACTGACCGCCAGGCACTGGAGTATCTGTTCAAGTTCATCATTCAGTCTCGGAGTCTTTACTCTCGCGCCACCTGCGGGATGGAGGAGGAGCAGTTTCGCAACAGCATCCAGGAGCTCTTTCAGTCCATCCGCTTTGTTCTCAGTCTGGACCGTCCCACCTGTGAGACCCTCATCTTCACTCAGGTGGGCAGACCAAACGCGGGCGGAGCTTTTGCGAATCATTCGAGAGAGAGCGGCTCTGACTTTGACTGTGCTTCTTCCTCCTCTGCCTTCAATCTCCTGCAACTCATTGTCAACTCCTTGTTGTTCCTCGTGTGGGTGGGTTCCTTTTTCGATATACCGACACCCGTGGCCCTCAGCCCAGTCAAGGCCCTTGTCAGGCCGGGCCCCCGGCCCAGGCCCGCCTTCCCGCCCCAGGTCCGGTTGCTTACAGTGCTCAGGTGTTGAGCCCCGGCAGCCTGTGGACGCCGCCGCTGTCAGTAAGTAGAGATCCAGGAGCAACGGAGAGGAGGGAGGAAGGCCCGCCGCACCCTGCTCGTCTCAACACACGCGCACACACACGTGGTCGCGGAACGCTTGGCCGTGTCACTCACGTCATCCTACAAGTCACACCCACTGTCGGACCGAGAAGACTAAGAAAGTTGTCTCGCTTGGTTGGCTCCATGCATGAAACTTTGGCTTTGGATCGTTTCGTCGAATTTTTGTTCCGCACCGAGGAGACGATGAAACGATGGACTTGTTGTCATTTGTGAAACGCTTCAAGGTTGGCATTTGACAATGTTAACATGAATGTCGCCGTGACTTTTTTTTTTTTTTTTTTTTTTTTTTTTGCAGGTGGCCGTGTTGAGCTCCTTGCCGGCCATCTTTGATGAGCTGCTGCAGATGTTTTCGGTGCAAGAAGTGGCAGAATTTGTGCGCGGCACTTTGGCCAGTTTGCCGTCCATGCTTCACATTCCGGGACATTCCGTGGACGCCGTCAAGTTGCAGTCCATCGCTCGCACTGTGGACAGCAGGCTCTTTTCTTTCCCAGGTGAGGGGCTCACTGAAACCCAGACTGCCGTTCTCAAACTAATAAAGGTGGACCACATGAGCTGATGCTGTGCGTGTGTGTGTGTGTGTGTGTGTGTGTGTGTGTGTGTGTGTGTGTGTGTGTGTGTGTGTGTGTGTGTGTGTGTGTGTGTGTGGTTG